ACATCAAGTAGACATATGCAGGGCAATATAACAAATAGACTATGCTGTACTAACAAAGTGTAACAAGTAAAACACTGACTTAAAAGGTGCATACTCAGTGTATTGTAGAGAAACCATCAAATACAAGATAATTAAATCTAAAAAGAAAGATCTGCGCATGCAGAAATAAACCAAAATATGGAGGAGGCCTGAGTAACTGGAGTAAATCAGGCATCTACAGCAGTAGCTGTAGATTTCTACGGATGACATAAGGAGAATGAGTTCCGGGCAGTAGCTTCCTGCCTCACTTCCAAAATAAAAAATAATCAGCAAGAATGAACCTGAAAAGATCCCAATAGGATGCCTGGTATATCCTAGCAAGGATATAAAAAGGAAAAGAAAGAACGGGTAAATCATGTCTATAGACATTAGATATCACCAGCTGCTTTGTGAGTGATGTCATCAAGTTGCAGAGGATATCCATGGAGCAGGAGACCTCTGAGGAATCGGTAGGCGTGTTCTGTTCCTTGATTTTGCTGTAGTCCACATCTTGCTAGGAGTGTTGGTCACTCTAGGCTTAGATAAAGGCAACATTAAGGGCCTCATCAGGGAGGGGAGGCAGGCGAAGATTACGCAGAAACGCCTCTCCCTCCTGAAGATCCCTGATAACATGTTGAGTTCCATCTTTAGTTATGGTCAACTTGAAAAGGGAATCCCCATCTGTATATAGTGCTGTATTTTTTGAGGTGGAGGGTAATCGGCCAAAGCAAATGCTTCTTAGATAATGTGATGGGAGATACATCGCTATAGATTTGAATTTTTTCCACTCTGAAATCTACCGATGCAGTATTATGTGTAAAATTCAACAGGGACTCCTTACTATCATAGCAATGGAACTGGACAATGATGTCTCGTGGTCTCTCCACCAATGGAGATTTTGGGGCGAAAGAACGATGAGCTCTATCCATTCTCCAGTCTATTTCCAAAACTGCTGGAGCTAAAGTGGTGAATAAGCCACGTAAATAATCTTGCAGATTGGCATCCCCTATAAATTCAGGGACGCCAAGTATACGGAGATTTTGTTTTCCTCTCCCTGTTCTCCAAATCTTCTTGCAGGGATTGCAGTTGAGACATCTGTTGCTTCAAAGTATGGTGGTCTTCCTCTAGAACATGCACATACTGCACCAGGTCATCAAATTTGGCTTCTAGATGATCTGTTCTTTCTTCCACCAGTGCCATCTCCCCCTAAGCTCTTGCGCTATTTTCCCCACTGCCACAGAAATTGTATGAGATAAGTTCTGCAGAAGATCAAGTAACCTATCATCCAGAATGTCTGCAGTAAGATAGGGGACAGGGGTAGAGGGAGATAAAGCAGTGCGGTGTGTTACCTATCAGATCATCTGGCTCTGCCGCTGGGTTAGTGTAATCACTTGAGGCCAGGGATGCGGTGCGGGATATAAATGTATCCATATGTGTAGGCCGCTGATGTTTGGCGGGCGACAGAGGGTATTTTTGGCGCCTGATTTTACCCATTGGGATCTGCAGATGACGCTGAGTCTGGTACTTGTGTTCCTCTGCTGCAAATAGCTATCGTTTGCTCCGGGGGGAGCAGGAAAAGAGAATGGTGAAGCGGAGCGGTGTTAATGTGTGATCGCCATCTTCAGCCTCCGCGCATGCGCCCCCCTAAAAAATTGATTTTAGTGTATTCTTTCCTGAAAATATGCAATTGATAAATAGCTGCTCAAATATTATGTGACATAAAAAAATTGTAATACGGTCTTTTTGGGGTGTTTACAGCAATTTTTAAAAAATTTAACTGCAGATATGCTTTAAAATTTAGCAAACTTTCCTGATTAAAAAAAAATTGGTTTGTTTATCATGCTCATTCTGCTTATATGCACCACATTTTTTATTGCAGTATTACATATACCCTTTGAAAACGTCTCCTACAATTGATATCTGGAAATGCTGTTCATCGCTAACGTTTTATAATATGCTGTACTGTATATGTACCTGTTTTTCCTCTGCTTCTCTTTCTTCGCCTTAGAAAAATGCATGATGCAGCTATGATGCTGAAAATTAGCACAGGCAGTGAAGTAGTGAATATTGAACTTTTGTTTGTATATGCATATGATTTTTCTGAAATACAGAAGGGAATGAGAACTCATTTTGAAAAGTTCCCTACAAACACATAACATTTCTAGTCATTTTCCTGAACTGCAAATGAAAACACCATATCAAATTACTGTTTGCTGTAACTAGAGATGAACAAATATGAAAACATCTGCTGTGTTCCAGAAATCTGATTCTAGGAAAGGGTTCTGGCAATGGTAATTTTATAAAACATGAAAAAAACATCACATGGGCTTGCATCCCTATAGTAAGAAGGCCAGCCAGAATATTAACCCACTGCATACATTCATACTAGGAGAGGCCACCTAGAAAGAGGCTTAATGTTTATTGAGAACAAAATTAAGTAAAATTAGGCCAAGTGGCCAACAATCCTCCAATCACCTTATTTTAATGGTGATTGGACGATTGTTGGCCACTTGGCCTAATTTTACTTAATTTTGTTTTCAATAACGTTTTTGGTTTGGTTACACGGCAGTTGGTTCTACTTTAAGCCTCTTTCTAGGTGGCCTCTCTTGGTCTGCAACGTTTATTTTTCCAACATGACCCCGGCTTCGGAGGACCCCACAGCTTAAATTTATGGTGAGCAGGTGACCTACCCCAGCACATTGAGATCTCCCTTTTATGGGTGAGGTATATCCTTGTGTTAGCCTTTTTTATAAATTTACAGTTAGATTTATACTAGCCCATATGTCCAGAAGTATCAGGTTGGTGTGCCTCAAGAGCTCATAAAGCAGTAAAGGCTCTCGTGCAAAAAGAAAATGCCAGCCTGTGTTTATCCTTGCGATGTTCTTCTTTTGCTCCATGAGCTTTAGCTCTTATTACAATTGATTACTTAGGTCAACAGAAAAAATGATTAATCTGACCTTGGAAAAAAATACAGTCTTAAAGTCCACAAGACCCATGTAACACACAGAAAAATACATGCCCATTCACCACTTCTGCTGCCTTTCACAGCTGTTCAAATGAACCTGAACTCAAAAAGTAATGATTCAATATGTTACAAGTAAGAATGAGGCTTGGGTTTCGCTGTTACCATGGGTTCGAGGCTAATCTTGCAAGTTAGAAATTTGTGATCCAGACAATACTATGTGCAGACTTGACCAGGGGAACGTTTAAACCATAATGTACTGTATGGTCTTTGAACCATGATCGGCATGCTTAGAAGGCCAAGATTGGAACTTTTAGTTAAGTCAGCCCCCCTCTCTATAAGGAGTTGGGGGGAACAGGGCACCCACAGTGTCAGCGATTTGAAAGCTTTTGTAGGGGAAGCTAGCAAACTGCACATGAAGAGTTTAGGGATCAGTTAGGTAACTGTACTGTCATCCAGCTTGCTAGATTTTTGGGCAATCAACAGCTGTGATGCCTTTTTTTGTACTTAATATTAGGAGATTATTTGTCTTAATTTTTTTTTTGTTCATTTGAGGTCAGCAGTCACTGGATGATGTCTCATCCATAGCAAAATTTTATTTTTGCTACACAATTTTCCTTATTTTTTGTTTTAGGGTGGTATTTTGGGGTATATTGATATTGTTTTGTTGATAGGGTCTTTATTTTAACATCTGGGGTGATCAAAAGGTTAACTGTGTGTATTTCACATTGTGTGTGTGTGTGTGTGTGTGTGTTTTACTGTGTAAGCACACTGCTTTGTATTTTTCTGCTATGCAGAGCAATACAAACCTGCATGCTGGTGCTGACAGGGGAGAGATCTGTATTGTATACATACTGACCTCTCCTCTGTCAGTGTTTCGCTGGGTCCTGGCAGGGAATCTCTGGCTGGGACCCAATGATCAACAGCTGTAGCCACCAACGGCGGCGCAGGTAGGATCAATGTTTTGCTAACCATTGCAGAAATGCTGCAGTCATAGGGTATATATGCTTATAGACTTCTGACTTTCCTGATTTGTAACCTCTGTGTGGCCACTGTGGCATCTGCTTTACCCTCATAAATTTGCCTTTGCTGGCTTTACCACTTGCCCTCCAGAGGATTTACCCCCCTTCCTGACCAGGCCATTTTTTGCAAAACAGTGCTGTGTTATTTTAAGTGACAATTGCCATATCATGCAACGCTGCACCCGAATGAAATTTATTGTCCTTTTTTTCCTCACAAATAGAGCTTTTTGGTGGTATTTGATCGCCTCTGCATTTTTTATTTTTCAGAAAATAATTTTTTATTTTTTTCTATGAAACATGACCCGTAAAAAAATTTTAAAAATCAAAATTTCATCATAAATTTAGGCCAAAATTCATTCTGCTACATTTGCTAAAAAAAAAAAAAATCCCAATACGTGTAAATTAATTGGTTTATGTGAAAGTTATAGCTAGCTAATAAAAAGCACTGACTGTACTAATGACACTGGGCAGGAAGGGGTTAAAATCTGTGGCGATCAAAGGGTTAACGGTGTGCTGTTTCACTGTGTGCTTTACACTGTAAGCACACTGCTTTGTATGGCTCTGCTATGCAGAGCCATACAAAACAGTGTGCAGGAGCTGACAGGGGAGAGATCCGTATTGTTTACATATAGGTCTCTCCCCCATCCAAGATACAAGGTGATCGCTGGCGGTGAATTACCAGCCAGGACCCAGTGATCGACAGCTGAGGCCACGAATGGCAGCACCAGCACCCTACCCGGAAATGCAGTTACATATGTATATGTGATTTTGCACACCCCTGCCGCCCTGTAGCAGTATTTCCGCTATAGGGCGGCGGGACAGCGGTTAAACAAATAAGGTATTGTTTAGTTGTTTTAGTTTAACTTACCTTTAACAATGAGCTTTATATTTATAGATTTTTCCTCGGTAATCCAAACAAAACATTCATATATCCCAGTGTCTGATACTTGTATATTTTTTAATAACAGTGATACATTTCCTTTAGAAAACTCCTCATGAAAAAGCTTTGTGCGTTCAGTAAATCTTTCATCCTGAATTTGACTTTGAAATACCCCTTCAAGGACATAATGAACAGGAATGTTTTCACTTTTAAATTTCCAGAAAACAGTAATTGTTGAGTGAGGATATCTCTCATTAGCAGGGAAGAAGCAGGGCAGGATCACATCTTCATCTACAAATCCGGAGATTACTGTGCTGACATCAGCTGAAAGACAAAGTTTTCAGTTCGTTAGAGCAAGATTTATTGAAAGAAAGTACTTTATATTTTAGAATGTGCTGCACATTGGACATATTATATCATTTATCAGGGCCAAGAATATTCTACAAAGAGCTGTTAATCATAATAACCTATACGCAATAATCTTTACCTGTTTTGACTATTTAGCAGCAAGGTGAAATCTGATTGGTAGACAGACTATTTATGATTCGCTGTTATTTGTGCTGCTCAGTTTAATCACAGGAAAATGCACATGCATGCACAAGAATAGGCTGCACATTCAGTAATGTGAAATTCCACTTAGCTTAGTAAAAAATGAGGTGAACACCCTAGTAATAGTTTATACCAATACAAAATGCAGGGCAATATTGATTGGACCCCGAGCAAACATTTTCTTGGGCCCCCCCCCACACACTTTTGATGTCCACCTGCTCTGAGACATACAATAAATAGCAGCTAGACTCAAAATCAGTTTATTTAGCAGAACAGGCAGCAAATGAAATTGGTTGCTGGAGGTTACAGCATATCATTACAGGTCACTGAATGGTTGGTAGAGGTTACACCACACATCACGGCTCACTGATTAGTTGCTAAAGGTTACAGCACATGATTTCTTTCTGCATGCTGATTGGTTGCTAGAGGTTACTGCACATCATTACTACTCACCCATTGGTTGCTGCTAGAGGTTATTGCACATCAGTACTGCTCACCGATTTGTTGCTAGAGGTTACTGCACATCATTATTGCTCACTGATTGAATGCTAGAGATTACAACAGATCACTACTGTTCACTGATTGGTTTCTAGATATTACTGCACATCGTTACCATTCACTGGTTGCTAGAGGTTAATGCACATTAATACTGCTCACCGATTGGTTTCTATTAGCTACTGTGCATTATTACCACTTACTGATTGATTGCTAGAGGTTACAGCACCTCATTACTGCTCACTGATTGGTTGCTTAACCACTTCAAGTCTGGACACTGTCCAGGCCAATTTTCAGCTTTCAGTGCTATCACACTTTGAATGACAATTGTGCAGTCATGCAACACTGTACCCATATGAATTTTTAGCATGTTTTTGAGACATATAAAACTTTATTTTGGTGGTATGTATTCACCACTGGGATTTTTATTTATTTTTTGCTATATAAATGAAAAAGTCCAAACATTTTGAAAAAAAAGTGTTTTTCTTATATAATTTTGCAAATAAATAATCTTTCTTCATAAATCTTGGCCAAAATTTATTCAGTTATCTTTTTAGTAAAAAAAAATAACCCAAATTAGTTTATAACCAAAACATTTTTATGTAAATGTAATGAGAAGATATACACTGACCACCAATATAACTGAAACATTTAGCCTATGTTCACATTTTTTGTGTGTTGGAAACGCATGCAAAATCGCTTTCCTAACACCACAGATACATGCTGCCCTTTAGCAGATACACAGCAGTGCCATTAGCTGTTAATGACACTCTCACGCATCTACTGACCTGTGTTTCCACAGCCACTATAATTCATGGTGCTGTGGCTCGGCATGATTTTGAAAACAGGTCAGAGACTTTATATACGCATTTCTAGAGCATAGAGCAGCCCATTGAAATGAATGGGCTGCCCTACATCTTTATACACCCCGTCGTCAGTATACCTTTACATCCTAAATTTCCCTGCTAACCTCTGCACTAAAAACCTCCCCTATCCTCTTCATTCTAACCTCCCCCCACCTTAACTCCACATGCTTCCTCTGCTTTGTACCCACCTTGCTTACCTCTGTACATCCCCTCTTTGCTCGCCTGTACACCCCAAACTGTAATTACTTTGCTTACCTTTGCAGAACAAGCTGATGGTATTTACATATGAATTCCCCGCTATTTACATATCAATATTGTTGGCCCACTTCTATTTCCATATGAATGCCGGTTATTTACATGTGAATGCTGACACAGTCTGCATGTGAATTATGGCAATATGGTAGAGCTGGGCAGTGTTAGTGACAGAATTCCACACTGAAATATTGGGTCACAGCAAAGGATGAAGAATGAAGGGACAAAGGAATGTAAACTGGGACAGTTGGCAAGTATGGGACAGCTGCTTTTGGCCCCACAACAATGACTGGGCCCAGGGCAGCTGCCCCTTCCTAAAGGCGGCCCTGACAAACTATTGGAATTTTCAAATAAAATAAAAAGTTAGGTAAAGTATACTCATCGCTGTTGTGTATGATATACAGTATTTAAATCTATTGTGTTATTTACTATCAGCAGAACAGCATCAAATTGTTGTACATCCAAATATTTTATTTGTATATGTTTTATTACCTGAAGGCAAGGACGAAGTTAAAACAAATATATTTGAAAGAAGATACATCAAGGCAACCATATCAATACTTCTCTGTAGAGACCTACATTTAAAAAAGATGTTATAAAACTATCAGTGCAAATTTTGTAAAAAAAAAACATTTTCTGTTAAAAGTTAAAACTAAAGAAAACAATGTAGTATAATTGTAAAGGAATGCATTGTCACTGGGCAGCACAGTGGCTAAATGGTTAGAACTTCTATAGGATAATTAAGCGAGCGCTCTGTACATATAGCAGCTAGAACACTAAAAGGAAATCACAATAACCTCAGAAATGGCAATAAATATATAAAGTGCAACGCTAAAAAGCAATAAATAAGATAAAATAAACGTTCGTTCAAAAAAGTTTGTCCAGTTGGCTGAATCTCGTATATAACACAAATAGTAATCTCCACAACAGCAGATAACTCACAAGGTTGTGACAGGAAAAATGGTAGAAATGCGCACTCACCGACTGCGCATAGGAAATGCGCATATAAATATCCACCAACTGGAGTATAAACAGCAGGCAGATGGTGAGTTCCCCTCAGGAGAAATGGTCGTCAGACTTATGTGAAGTCATAATCTGTTAGGCCCAGAGGTCTCCTTTAAGGATATGTGGGTTTTCAGCCTAGGTACAGGGCTCCCTCCTCTGGATACTGGATGTTATTCAGGATTGCTCTGTGGGTTTAATAGCTCCTCCAGATAGGAGCCAAAGAGAGGGAGTGCCAATAGTGTAGTAAATTCTTGATATTTATTGAATAAATGTAGTAAAAAAGTTGTAAAGTAGGGTGCAGGTAGAATATAAGTGCCAATTTGTGATAAGAGCAGAGTACTGCAGCACTGACCCTAAAGTAAGATGGCTGCCGGACCTCCTCGTGGTCACGGCAGCGATGACGTCACACGCTGTCAGCTCCTCCTGAGGCCTTTTGTGCTAAAGCACATCAGAGGGGAGGCCTGGCAGTATTGGGGTTGTTGGTTCGAATCCCAACCATGGCACCACCTGCCTGGAGTTTGCATGTTCTCCCTTTGCCTGCGTCAATTTCCTCCCACACTCCAAAGACATGCTGGTAGGCTAATTAGGTCCTGTCTAAATTGGCCCTAGTATGTATATGTATGAATGTAAGGTAGGGACTTTAGATTGTAAGCTCCTTGAGGGTTAGGAACTGATGTGCATAAAGTTGACGGTACTATATAAGGTACCTGTAATAAATAAAAAAAATATATTATACCAATTTGGTCTGGCCTTCTGCTCCACCAATTTTCAATGTATGGTTCTGTCCAATGGCCCCAATGTCACCTCACTGCATAGGGGACGAAGGGGTTGGCAAAGAACTACAGCACTTGGCAGGGAACCAAACCAGGCATCTGACACATCTGAGTGTATTGATCTTGGCCCTGCAGACCCTATTTGTTGATGTCTTCCTAAATTTAGTATTTTTACCTTATTGTCAATGTTAGTATTACTGCTGTTGTATTCCATCTCTTCAGTTCAAAATGTTTATATGTACACATTAATGTATATTAAGCAGGTTGCTTTGATTTGCCTAATCATAATTGTAAGTCTGAAGGACCAGAATTGCCCAGTAGTTTATTAAAAAAGTAAAAGTGCTTTCACCCCCCCCCCCCCCCCCCCAGAATCAAATAAATATTTATACTGTGTATACCATTTAATTAAAAAATAAAAACAAAAGTATTCATATAAATTAATAAAATCTGTTAGTGCTATAATCCAAAAGATAACAAAATTGTGGCATGTACTTTCCACAATTATGCAAATAAAATCTCTTATTGGGGATGAGAGGATAGCATGTAATAATAATAATAATAATGTTGTAGCACTACCTTCAAAGGAGTTAAATCAATAACAGTAAACTTTGTAATGGTTAGACAATACGACGAGAGTGGTAATAGGAAAGGCATTAATGACAAAGATGACAGCGCAATTAATATACAGGGTATGACAATACCATGTAGTCTACAATTTTAACAGCCACTCATGTCAGCTAAAACATTAACACTTTTTCACCCAGCCTGCAGCAGTGAGCAGCAATTGAATAAGAGACGTCTAAACCCCCGGCGCTATAGTGCCTAAAATACACTGGGGCAACTATGTTTGGCTTAAGGCACCCTGAAGGACGAAGTTGGTTGCAGCAGATAGTGTGTAAATAGTTAAGTAAACAAGGGGCAGTCTTTGCGTTGTTTCTTCTGCCGGGTAGTGTTGGACCCCATATAAGAATTGATGCACTTTAAGAGTGCTTAGTGAGCCTGCATCCAGTTAGACTATGTTAGAGGGTGGGTATGGTCCTAGGCTCAGTAGAAGTAGACTAGTTAAAGAGACAAAATGGAATGTTGACATGTCATATGCAGAATAAGTTTAAAGGAAATGTGTTATCTTAAAGTGTTACTAAACCCACAAAAGTCAAATCAGTATGTATATGCAGTAAAGAATGCTTGTTATACTCACTGTGGAACCCAAGGAGTTAATCCTCTGTATGTGTAAAAAGACTGTTTGATCCTGATTTCCCTAATCCTCCCCTTCTTCCAGTGCCTCCATCTTATCTCCTGATAAGACATATCGTGTGGAGACATTCTGTACATGCTCAGTTTGGTGTGTATTGCTAAAGAGATTTTTTTTTTCTAGGGAGAGTGCATGTAATCAGCACAAGGTCAATCAGCACTCTCCAGACAGAGGTCAGGGGTTCTGCATCCTCCTACAGCAGAATGAAAACTCCTCCTACAAGCTTTAACATGTGGTTGGCTGGACACTGATAGAAGTCACAAGACTTTTCTAACTGCTGATGAGAGAAAAGGTATTTAGCAGTTTATATGTACTAAAATAATTGAATTTCCATGTTCTGTGTACTGTGGGAGACCAGATATAGTGAATGCAGGGTCCTGGGTTTAGTAACACTTTAAATAAGGATTCAATGTGAGGTCCTGCTGCATGCTGTTTGTGGTGGTCTAAGTGTATCCATGAAGAGTAAGGCAATTAACTGGTTTCTTGAGAAAAAAAAAAAATCAGTTCCTGTCAAAAGTGCAGATGGTGGGTTAACAACCCTCGACCTGTCCTGTGACACAGCATTAGTTGCAGAGGTAAGAGCAGCTCCTCATTGGTCTCTTACTAGCTCTGGCAAACAGCACTGTAAATGATGATGAGCAGTATTACTGTCTTCTTTCTGAACATTGAGCAGCGATGACAGACCACTGAACACTGCTCTCGGATGGCAATGGTTAAGGCGTTGGTTTTCCACTTGGCTGAGATCCCAAACAGCTGGATGCGCTACATGGAGGTCAACACTCTACTGTTTCAGCGCCAACTGCCCTGAATCTTCCCAGGCAGTCCGCTCCTCTTTCACGTGCCATTGCACCTTGGGAGCTGTAATCTTTCTCCTGCTCCACACAAAACAACTGTCCTTCCACAGGACTACATCTCCCAACATGCCTTTTGTGGCTGTACCTTTCCTTTGGCTGCCCTTGCAAGTGCAGTGCAGCCCCCTGGGATAATTAATTGACAAGTATACAGGTTTAAATAAATCTCATAAACACTTGCATTGGAAAGAGGAACCTCCCACCGATCATGAAACGGGTGGAGGTTGTTCTGTCCATTAATTTGGGCATAGCCTATTGTGGTGTGTCAGAGGGCAGGTACACCTCTACCAAATCGGAGGAGAGAGAGGTCGCCTAGCGCTAGTCCTTTGAGTAGCATGTATGACTTCTTCTGAATTTTCCCCTAAAGTATTAAATGTTAGTCTTTTTGATGGTTGCATGACCTTCTTAGCCTGAGACATCATCGAATTCGGGGACTGCCACAGAGAGATCCTGGACAGTTTCTACTTCTTCAGTGGGTGGCATTGAGGAGTCTATGAGGTCCTCTGTCAACTGGCTTGGAGACAAAGGTTCTGATATTTCAGAGCCAAGGTCCTCTGGGCCTGTATTTTGGGTTGAAAGAGGAATAACAGTATTTTCAGGTAGAGTGGGCCACAGCCAGTCTATGTAGTCCCTTTCTTCCTCACTATATTCACAGCCAGAGCTTAGGGCAGCATTCTGTGACCCAAGTGATGAGCTGAGGTCTTTAGGTACTACCCGAGAGGGGACAGAGTCCATTTGTAGGGGTACCTGGTGTGCATCTGTTATGGGTATAAGGTGGTAGCGATGTCATATCTTTATTGATCTTGATTCCTCTCTAGATGAATTTGATAGGTGAGAGATCCTGAAAATTGCCTACAGACCACAAAGGGTTAAGATTTCCAGTGGTCAGAAAATGTATGTTTCCCTGGGATACTCAGTTTTTTTAGTAGCATTCTGTCTTCAGGTTTCAAATATTGTACCCTTACTTTAAGGTCATAGTTCTTTTTATTTTGTTGGCCACGAGCATCCAAGTCTTTCAGGGTCTTTTTATATGCGGTTTTAAGTTCTTTCTTAGATGATCTACATACCTCCGATGCAATGTCATTGATGTCTGATCTAAAGAAGTGCCAAAGGCCAGATGAACAGGCAACCAAGCCTCCTTCCCAACATCAGCAGATACGGGGGAAAAACATTGTTTTCAGTGCTACTGTAAGCATGGACTACTGCCACAATGTGCCTGCTCTACTGTTGTTTCTTCTCTGCAAAGAGAGTACTGAGCATATCCAGTAGGGTGCAGTTAAAGCATTCAGGTGTAGGGTCTCCATGAGGATGATAAGGAGTTGCCCTTGATTTTTGAATGCCCAATATATTTAGCAGTCTTTTAATAGGTCTACTCTTTAAGCCTCTTCCCTGATCAGAATGAATACACTGGAGCAAGCCATAATAAAATGAAGACATTTTCCATGAGGACCTTGGCTACTGTTAAGTCTTGTTTGGTCAGGAACACCTGAGCATACCAGGTGAACTGATCAGACACTACCAAAACATTGCTCTGCCCACTCAAGTTGGGCTCCAAGCACAGGAAGTCAATGCACACCAATTCCATAGGCCTTTGACTTTGCAGGTGTCCGATGAGTGCATCTTTAATTGGGAAAGTCTTCTGCTGGATGCATCTTAAACATGGATGAAAGCAACCCTTCACTTCACCCCTGATG